TCATCACCATCAGGCTTATCGACCAAGACGAGAACCCCCACAGGCATATCAGGACCCGAAGACCTCAGCGCTTTCATAGAAGCGCAAAGCTGCTCCCTCTGATGCGCTGCATCCTCCGCCTGATGACGACATCGATGCACTAGAACGACCCCTCTTGGTGTGTCACGGAGACGCCTCGCTGCGGCTGCAAATGCCTCCACGCTCCAACACACTTCCACATGTTTGAGGCCTTCCCCGTGCCCGAGAGCATCATAGAGCTCTGCAGCCCCGTGAGTCAACAGGACCGCCATACTTTCCAAAGCCGTTGTCACTGCCTCGCGGCTGATGGGATCCTCCAACGGGGCCCAGCCCTCTTCACACAGAGTTGTGCGAGCCAAGAAAGGTCCGCCAGCCTTTGACCTGGCTTCTTTGACCTCCAAACAGGAGAAGAAGGGCGTGCGGGGGATGACGCGGAAGTAGGTCTCGAGACGAATGGGCTGGCAGCAGATGACGTCGATGGTTGCGATGTGCCCCTGGACGGCCCAGAGGCTCCGCAGGCCGATGTCATTGGTGACGCCAACGAAACCCATCTTCTCGAGCTGATGCTGATTGACCAGCTGTGCCGCCTTGCCTTGCTCTGTCCGGGCGCCCCACTGGATGCTGGACCCCGCGAGGCCCTGGGATCGTCGGTATGTCACCAGAGCGTCGAGGCAGACGTTTGCTGCTGCATGGTTCGATCGGCCGGAGTTGCCCAGCAGGCCAGCAATGGACGAGAAGACCAGGAAGGTGTCGGCCTGGACGCGGCTCTCAATGAGTAGGTCGTGGAAGGCCCAGGCGCCCTGAACTTTGGGGCCGTAGACATCTGCTATGGTCTCGAGCGTCTGACTGCCGATGGTTGCGTCACTCAGTGTGCCAGCAGCATGAAGGATCGCCTTGGGCACCAGCCCCTCCCCTTGGACTTGCGTGAGCAGGGCGCGGCAGTCCTCGATGGAGCTCAGGTCACACTTGGCTGCACGCAAAGTGATGCACGACCCCTCCGTCGCTTCGGCTCTCTGCATGATGGTCTCGAGCCGCTGCCATTCTTTGCTCTCCTGCATCTCCTGAGTTGGTTGGCCTCGTCGCGATGCAAGAATGATGCTCTTGGCCCCGTGCTCAATCAGCCATGCAGCCACCACGAGACCAAGGCCGCCAAGACCGCCAGTGATCACGTACGCATAAGGGCAGCTCCGTGCACGCTTCTGCGTCGCTCGTGCCTCGATCACCTCGAGCCCCAGAGCAGAGGGCACGGTGAGCACAATCTTGCCGATGTGAAGCGCTGGCTGCATGAAGGTGAAGGCTGCTGAGACCCCTTCGTTCTCGTCGCTGAGATCGAAGGCGTGAATGGGGGGAGGGGTGAGCTGGTCCGTCGCGATCATGCAGTTGATGCGGTTCAGCATGCCGCGGAACCACACAGGGTCGTCACGAATCATGACGTCGAGAGCAACGGCTTCATAGTTGACGTCGGTGCGCTCTTGAGCCATCTTCTCCCGGCTCCAGATGCCTCGCTTGCCGATCTCGACGAACCATCCACCGGGACGCAGCAGCGCCAAAGAGAAGCCGATGAAGTGACCGCTGAGGCAGTTCAAGACGATATCCAGCCGATCTTCGTTTCCCAGGAACGATCGCATGTCCAACTGGAAGCGATGCGGGTCTCTTGAGCTTGTGGTGTACTGGACGCCTAGATGTCGCAGGAGGGTCCTCTTGCGGTCGCTGCCTGCCGTCGCGTAGACGATGGCTCCTGCCCTGATGCAGTGCTGCACAGCAGTCAAGCCGACTCCGCCA